CCTCCTGACCTGTATGCTCCGCCATGGCCTTCTGAACTGTATCCTCCGCCATGGCCTCCTGAACTGTATACTCCGCCATGGCCTCCTGAACTGTATGCTCCGCCATGGCCTCCTGAACTGTATGCTCCGCCATGCCCTCCTGCCTGCTCTGCCATGGCTTCCTAGTCTCACTGCTCCGCCATGGCTTCCTAGTCTGACTGCTCCGCCATGGTGCCCCGAACTCCCTGCACCGCCATGGCACCCTGGACTGCCTGATCCGCCCTGGAGGTATTCCCCGTGTCCCAGTCTTGCACCAACCTCCAGGGCACCCAGTAATGTCAGACTGTCCCCAAGTCAAGCCCAGTGAGGGCCACAGTTCCCGAGATAGGCCTACGGATGGCCTCTAAAGACGATATTCTCCCAAAGGATTTTTGGGGGGGGAGGTAGTATGGGTCCGTCCGTAGTGGCTGGGCCAAGGCCACGGAAGCCGTCCAGCCATGGCCTTCGGAGTTCCCTGCTCCGCCCGTGGCCTCCTGAACTGTCTGATCTGCCATGGCCTTCTGAGCTGCCTGCTCCGCCATGGCTCCCCGAGCTCCCTGTTCTTCCATGGCCTCCTGACCTGTATACTCCGCCATGGCCTTCTGAACTGTATACTCCGCCATGGCCTCCTGAACTGTATGCTCCGCCATGCCCTCCTGCCTGCTCTGCCATGGCTTCCTAGTCTCACTGCTCCGCCATGGCTTCCTAGTCTGACTGCTCCGCCATGGTGCCCTGAGCTCCCTGTGCCGCCATGGCACCCTGGACTGCCTGATCCGCCCTGGAGGTATTCCCCGTGTCCCAGTCTTGCACCAACCTCCAGGGCACCCAGTAATGTCAGACTCTGTTCCTTGTTTTGTGTTTTGCTCCCCATGTGCCTTCCTTGCCCTTATTTGGTCCTTCCTGTTCCTGTCCCCATTTAGTTCTATTAGTTCCAGGTGTTCCTTGTTATTAGTTATCCTCCTCACCTGTCTGCCCCTCGTTATCTGCCCTATTTGAGTTCTAGCCCATTCTGTTCTCCTTCGTCCGGAATTGTATACGTCTACCCTTGCTACGTGTGTTTTCCTTGTTCCCTGGATGTTATTAAAATCTATATGTTTGAATTCCACTCCTCGTCTCCTCGCTCCTTCGTCTCCGTGCTCCTCACAGTAGCGCAAAGTGACAATGTCAGAGTGACACAAAATACCTCAGGCTACACTCGTACGCGACTCGTACTGCTTTCTGGCTCTATAGGTTTTACATGGTAATGTTTACATAAAATAACATGTTTTTCTCTTTTACATTTTAAAATGTAAAAAGATTATTACATAATCAAAATACTACATAATTCTTCTGAACTTTTTTTATTTATTTATTTATTTTTTTAGATTTTTAGAAGACTTGTGATCCTCATTTAAAAACAGCCTAAAGGGTTTAATGTGGAAAGAAAGTATGCAGTGAGTCAGTTTATTTGGTAGTATTGCTCAACTGCACAGTATCTTGGTCATTCTTAGCATTCCATGCCTCGTCTTCTCAGTCTCATAGTCATAACAGAGTTGTGTTGCTCACAGGTGTAATGAGTGAAACAATCACATTCATTGTCCTGTGTTATCCTGTGGATGTTATCATAATGATTGACAGTCTCATCCATTCACATTCTATTAGACTAATACATGCTTTTCAATTAGACTATTAATTTAAACGAATGACTAATTCACATGTACATCTGTGGATTGGATTGCTGTGAGGCAATGCATGCAGTGATTTAAAATGTGACCATCAGCAGGTATTTAGAGCAAGAATGACACTCTCTCTGTCACCTTAAAGTGATATGGTTAGGAACATAAAATAGTTCACACAGGATTTATGATTTTATATTGCAGCATTTTTAAGGCATGATGCACCTACTTTTTCAGGGGCGTCATTTGCAGTTCTGACTCGTTCAGTGATGACAAGATAAGACATGACCAAACGGAGAATAAATAAATAAAATAAAAATAACCTAAATAAAATAAAAGAAGACTTTTAAAAACATTTTTATTTAGATATAATAATAATGATAATGGCAGCAATTATTTATGTCCATAGGAAAAAGTCATGATTTTTGATGACAGAATTAAAGCAAATTATTTATTTTTACCAAAAAATTTGACTAAAAATTACCACATTTCATTATCCAAAATAGAGAATGCATAGAAAAATGCATTCAAAATCCACTTGTTGAAAAAACGAGGGGGCACATGCATGAAACTTCTGATCTGCCTTAAAAATGCAGCAATCACAATTTACATCTTCTTATGAAGCTCCCTGGGTCTTTTGGGAAAATTCCCCATGGGATTTTGAAATGATGACGTGCTTCTTTGTCACACACAATGGAAAGATCATAGCTCTATTAATATGTGTTTTGTTGGTCGTACTGCTTCCCCATACAATGTATGCTAGTGGACGTCACCATGCCAGATGGATGATTCACTCATATTCTCCTGAAGGCCCTTCGCCAATTTGTGGTGTGGGAGGTGATTCTGAAGTTCCTGTCAAATCAGTTCGGCTGTGATTCATTTAGGCTTTATAACATGGAGGCATCAATCAGTGGCAGTTGTGAACTGCTTTCCAACCCACCACACCAAAAATTAATCGAATACACATGAAATTCTAACACAAAAGCAAAAATACGTAAATTCATTATCTAAAAAAAATGCTCTTGTAATAGACAGCCAGCTTTTATTTGTTGGCATTGTAATTTTGAACACATTAAACAGAGCTAAACCACATTTACCATGGTGACTCACCATAGCTTTCAGAAAGTATGTGAATCTGACTTTGTCACAGTTTTTTCTTCTGCTAAATTTTAATAGTGAAGGTGTGTTCAAGTGCCCAGAGGACCAGCTGCCACTGGATTATGCCAAAGTAAGTGCACCATCATAACACCACAGTTTCAAAGGTCTTCTGATTTCATCCAAAGGACAATCATTCTTCTGATATTTTATCCAAAATGATAGAACAGTGGTTCTCAACTCCATTTGTGGGAACCCACTTTTATTTAACACGCCTGATTGAGATCATCAGCTTGATGATCCATAAACTGAATTTAGTGGTTCATCCGAAATCTTAGGCAGCTGAGTTGTTGCCTCGCTGCCCTATCAGGCAATGACTTTGCAGGCAGCTTTTGCAAAGGTATCTCCCTAAACTAATTTCAGACAGGCTATTGAGGCAGCATTATAGTTTAGTGATCTGTAATAAAATGGAGAGACCTTTGGTGATAACTAAACGAATATTTAATTACTACAATACTAATTTCTCGCTAGAAATTACATCAACATTAAAGGTTGGTCAAAAACATATACATTTACACACAAACTGACCATCAACCATCATTTTCAGATGCCATCTTTATTTTTAAGCTCAACTGTAATGGAATAGTTAATAGTTAGTTTCTTTCCTCAAATTTGATTGGCTAAGCAGTGTTTGCAGGAATGCTGATGCACGATCCAACAACACTGGGATTTACATTGATTCATTGTTACGCCACATGAGTAAGTCATTGACTATGCTTACATGTGCACCAATAATGCAATTAATTCCAATTATCAGAGCAAGGACTTAATCGCAGTAAGATGACAAGCAAACCTCTTTACTCCCATTTATGTGCAGTTTTCATTCTTCTCATTATTCGCTAAGAAATTTGTTTTTTTTCTGTCATTATTCACATGCGCCAATGCACAGCACAAATGATGAGCACAAATGGTTTTAATCTACTTAATACCAAAGCAAAACACTATTCTGTGGATGTATTGGATAGTTATTGAACATTGAAATTTTACAGCAATGCCGCTACAACTAGGGTTGCCTATGCTGCCTCCATGTTCTTCGCACCATTTCTAGATGAAGATAAGAAGCAGAGATCGGTGGCAATGGAAGCATACCTATGTTCCCAGGGTCCTGTGTTCCCCAGATTGATATGGCACATAAGGAACACATGAAAAAGGGTTCTGTGTTCCCCAGTTTAATGCACTGTTAACACACATTAAGTAAACTTTTAAAGGTCAGGACTCATTTTCCCTAACCCTAACCCTAACCCTTACCTAACACAGGATAAAATTTCATGCAAGTTCAACAGATCAACACAGATAGAGACTCCTTAATTAATTTACTTGATGAACTTGATATTGAGAAGATAGACTTTGTTGAGGACTGTAATAAAATAATTTGGAAAGTTGTTAGAGAAGTAGATGTTCTGTGCATCTGGCTTAGTTATCGAATACCATATTGATATAATCTTTAGAACCTTTGAGTGATTAGAACATATTTTATAACTTGGTAACATAGTCACGTGTTCCTTACAGTATGTGCCATATAAACCTGGGGAACATAGTACCCTGGGAACATAGGAATGAACCCGTGGAAGTGAGTTGTGTTGACAGAGTCAAGCGATTGCTGGGAAAAATTCGGAATCACTTAATCGTATCAGTGTGATTGAAGTATTGTGCTTACATGAGGTAAAGTTTAATCGCAAAAAATTGCCTAAATCTCATAATTGCATTGAGAGTACATGTAAACAGTCATTGAATCATTCATTCAAGTGATTGTTATAGTAACACTAATTCATTCAGGAATGCCACTGAAGTGTGCTGCTTTGATTTGGCTTCGACTTCATTTGGAAATATTTTCTTGGACAGAGCAAAAATAGACCATACTGACAATATTGTGTCTAAAATATAAGTTACTGATTTTTAATAACTTGTTTATTGAATTATTGTATAAAAGCAATATCACATGCCCAATTTTGCTAGTAATCACAGCTGTGCTGAACAACAGCAATCTTCCTCATGTTTTATTTATTGCTTACTTCCATGCTTTTCAAATGTTCTTATATGTTCTACTCTAATAAATAGTCATAAATTTGTAATTCTGACTGCAGATTTTTCCAGATGTGGAGCTGGAACAGCAGATTCTTTCTCTGCCCATCCGCTGCATCCACAGTGAGGAGGGCTGTCGCTGGACCGCGCAGAACAAGCTCCTACAGGTGAACAGATGGCACACAAACACAAATCTCAGTCGTATTTGTACATATTTTAACATACATCTTTATAGGATTGAATACATTTCTTTATGGCTCCTGATAGTAGGCTATTGTACGTTACCGTATCTATTCAAATGTACAAAAATTTATGTGTACACTACAGTATGTACAAATACCAACATTTTACACCACTGCTAAAATGTTTGGGGTTAGTACGATTTATTTATTTGGAAAGAAACTGATTCTTTTATTCAGCAAGGACACATTAAATGGATCAAAAGTGACATTAAATTGATCAAAAGTCTTATGGCTCCTGAAGCCCCGTAAAAGTGATGCTGTTCATACGTTGGTAGGCCATTGTATGTTACCACGTCTATTCTAATGTACAAAAATTTATGTGTGCACTACAGTTATGTACAAATATCAACAATATACACTACCATTCAAATGTTTGTTTGTTTTTTATTTTAGTTTTTTTTAAAAGAAATTGTCTCTTTTATTCAGCAAGGACACATTAAATTGATCAAAAGTGACAGTAAGTTATTCAAAATGTTGCAAAATATTTCTGTTTTATTTAAATGTTGTGCATATTAAAAATGATTTCTGAAGAAATATATAACATGAGGCTGGAGTAATGGCTGCTGAAATTTAGCTTTGCCATCACAGGAGCATTTTAATATTCAATTGTTGGGGAAAAAATTCAATTGTAATAATATTTACCAATATTAATGTTGATTTAACTCTATTTCTGATCAGGTAAATGCAGCCTTGGTGAACATCTTCTTTCAAAAACGTTAAACACCCAAATCTCACTCTCACGCTGGGTTTCTCACTGCTCCTCCAGGCCCATTTGTCCGTGTGTGAGTTTAACGTGGTGTCGTGTCCAAACCGCTGCTTTGTGAAGTTGCTGCGACGTGAACTGCCGGAGCACCTGCAGCATGACTGCACCAAGAGAAAACTACACTGTGACCACTGTGGTGACGAGTTCGCTGGGGAGGCATATGAGGTCGGACACATGCATTTCTTCATTGTTGTTTTGTTATTATCACAAGTCCCTTCTGATACTTTATCATACACATACATAATTTAAGTTTAGTAATATTTGTAATTTAGCAATGGTAATATATTAATATTAACATGAACCATTTTTAAAAAAATTTAAATCAGGCTTCTGTTAATTTTTCTTGTATTTTGATGGTTTCAATAGCACAAGCTTATTTCAACACTGCACCACAGCTCTGACACATGCAACCATGTTTAATATTTTATGTCCCTCTCCGTCCTCATTCAGAGTCACCAAGGTGTTTGTCCAGAAGAGAGTGTGTACTGTGAGAATAAATGTGGAGCTCGTATGGTGCGGAGACTGTTGGCCCAGCACTCTGTGTCTGAGTGTCCCAAACGCAAACTGCCCTGCAGATACTGCAGAAAGGAGTTCCTCTATGACACTATTCAGGTCAGTGGACTATATGCTGCCATCCTAGATTTATGTATTTATTTTATGGTAAAAGGAGTGCATTCATAGGTGTTTTATATTCACAGCATCATCAGCAGCAGTGTCCACGCTTCCCTATGCAGTGCCCTAACAGGTGCGGCACACCAGGAATCACTCAAGAGACTTTAATTGCACATGTAAAGGAAGGATGCAGCACTGCTGTGGTGCTTTGCCCGTTTAAGGAGGCTGGCTGCAAACATAGGGTATGAGCTCTACAGTTATGCATATAGACAGTAAAGCACTGTGATGAATAGTGGCACAATGTATGCATGTCATTAATGGCGTTAGATGGCAGAATAACACTGGTAGTATTTAGGGGTATTTCTTTTAAAAGAAAGACAGCACAAGCAACACTTTTCAATAGGGATGCACCAATATTAAAATTCTCTCCAACACAAGATGCCACTAATTTTCACATAATGCCGATAACCGATAAAATTAAAATTTATTTATCAACTATTTTGTAGGGGTGTAACAATATATTGTGTCACAATATATTGCAATACAAAAATGCAAGAATGTGTATTGTGGATGGTGACAATATATATAACGTATATTTCAAACAAAATTACTAATTAAATTTTTAAATAAAAAAAATAAA